GGTCTCGATCTCTTGACCTCGTAATCCACCCGCCTTGGCCTCCCGAAGTGCTGGATTACAGGCGTGAGCCACAGCGCCCGGCCCCTAACTGTTTTTTTTATTTTCTGAGATGGAGTCTCGCTCTGTCGCCCAGGCTGGAGTGCAGTGGCGCAATCTCAGCTTACTGCAACCTCCACCTCCCGATTTCAAGCAATTCTTCTGCCTCAGCCTCACAAGTAGCTGGGACTATAGGTGTGTGCCATCACGCCTGGCTAATTTTTGTATTTTTAGTAGAGATGGGATTTCACCATATTGGCTAGGCTGGTCTCGCACTCCTGACCTTGTGATCTGCCTGCCTGGGCTTCCCAAAGTGCTGGGATTACAGTTGTGAGCCACTGCACCCGGCCAACTGTTCTCTCTTTATATATTTTTTTATATATGTTATCTTTACATTTGTAAGGTTACCTTTCAGTGTGGATCAGTAGATGGGTACTGAGGCTTGAATGCAAACTAAATTCTTTGCCACATTTATTACATTGGTAAGGTTTGCCACCTGTGTGAGTCCTCTAATGTTGTGTTAGCTATGAAGTGCAACTGAAGACTTTGCCACATTTATTGCATCTGTTAGGTGTGCAGTGAATTCTCTCCAGTATGAATTTTCCAATGTCATGCAAGGTGTAGATTTTGATTGAAAATTTTGCCACATGCATTACACTTGTAAGGTCTCTCTCCAGTACGCATTCTCTGATGGTTGGTTAGGTGTAACTTGCACCTGAGGACCTTGCCATATTCACTATATTTGTAAAGTTTCTCTCCAGTAGGGATTAGAAGGTGGGCCATAAGTCCTGAACATATGCTAAATGCTTTTCAACATTCATTATTTGTTAAGGCTTCTCTGTACTATGAATTATTTGATGCTGTGCAAGGCATGAAAGTTGACCAAAGACCTTGCCACATTCATTACATTTGTAAGGTTTCTCTGCATTATGACATCTCTTTTGATTGGTTGGGGAAAATTTGTGCCTGAAGTTCTTGCACACTTATTACATTTGTAAGGTTTCTCTCCAGTATGGATTACAAGATGGGCAGTGAGTCCTGAACACTCTTTAAATGCTTTGCCACATTTGTTATATTTGTGAGGCCTCTCTCAGTATGAATTCTTTGATGTTGTGCAAGGTTTAAATTGCTATTAAACACCTTGTCACACTCACTACATTTGTAAGGCTTCTATCCAGTATGAGTTCTCCAGTGTTCTACAAGGTGTGGATTGCAACTAAAGACCTTGCCACATTCACAGCATTTGTAAGGTTTATCTGCAGTTTGGATTACTTGATGGTTAGTAAGGCTTGCAGACACTCTAAAAACTTTGCTGTCTTCACTGCATTCATAAGGTTTTCCTCTAATATGTGCTTTCTTTCCTTGTGGGAGTAATGGGAAATCAATAAAATCATTTACAGCTAGTGCTCGACTTACGACCACGATTGGTTCCGACAGACTGGTCGTAACACGATTTGGTCATAAGTTGAGTAGGCTATATGTACAGTACTGTGAAATGATGTTATAAAAATCTTTAAGTCATATTTTATCATAATTTTCTTTCATTATTGTTATATATCATAATTTTCTTTGTTCATTTTATGCCATTTGTATCATCTTGCCGGGCGTGGTGGCTCAAGCCTGTAATCCCAGCACTTTGGGAGGCCGAGGCGGGTGGATCATGAGGTCAAGAGATTGAGACCATCCTGGTCAACATGGTAAAACCCCGTCTCTACTAAAACTACAAAAAATTAGCTGGGCATGGTGGCGCGTGCCTGTAGTCCCAGCTACTCAGGAGGCTGAGGCAGGAGAATTGCCTGAACCCAGGAGGCGGAGGTTGCGGTGAGCCGAGATCGCGCCATTGCACTCCAGCCTGGGTAACAAGAGCGAAACTCTGTCTCAAAAAAAAAAAAAAAAAAAAGAAAGAAAGAAAAATAATTGATTGGTTAACATCAGGTTACTCCAGATGAAACTTCACATGACGTCAGTTGAAACTGGCCTGTTTGGAAAATTAGGCTGTTAGCTCATTCAGTCTCTCAATTACTTGAAAGACCAGATGACAGCTCAGTTTCAGTTTGGTGAGCATGAGTGACTCCATTATGATTTTTAGTCTGGACTGTTGGGCCTAGTGTTATGGGATCTTTGGGGTGTCACTTTTCTGGCCAGAAACATCTGTGGCTGATGACGCCTTTGCCTGAGTTTTGCTCAGGCCCACTGGGCTTGTTCTGCCCATGGCCTGGCATTGCATTCAGCTCATATTACCAGCCTGTATTCCCTGCCTGCCAAGGGAGAGTCAGGCGTGGAGCAGCAAGGGGTGTGAGAGTGAGTATGGTGTCCAGCAACTGCACAGTCAGACACTCCAGCTGCTGCAGTGGGGTGGGCATCTCCAGGTGCCAGCATGGGCACTGGCCCTCTGTGAGGCTACAGCCAGACCAGGTGCACCTCAAGCAGCTTCCACTGCTGGCACCGGGGAGCACTGGCGAAGCTTGGAGATGCCAGGAACCACAGGGCCCCAAAGAGGGTTAGTGTTGTGGGATTTTTGGGTATCACTTGGCTTGGGGAGCTCCCAGGTCTGGGCTTCTTGAAGGGCCACAGCTCTTCTCTCCTCTTCACATGCAGCATGGTGAGAAAGTGGCATGTTTCAACCCCTAACATGTTTACATTACAGTTCTTTTAGCCTCACCTTTCAGTGGGTCCCGAGTTCTTGTCCTGTGACCAGGAAGAGATACAAAGACAAGTGAAGGGTAAGGAAGACAAAGAGGAACTTTATTGAGAGAACAGCTCAGAGGAGACCCATAGAGGGCAGCCCCTTTCCATAGCCAGGGTGGGTGTCTCATATGCAGCTTGTCATCTTGATGAGTGTTGAGCTCCTCAGCAGAGACGATATGCAGGCTAATGCCAAGCTGCCCTCCTCACCCCCTCAGCTTGCCTCCGCCATCCTGTGCTTGTTGGAGCCCAAAATCTGGAGGGGGACAAGGCTGCAGGGGGCTGGCGTGTCATAGCTACCCCTGGGCATGGCCTGGTTACCTGCTTTGGGGACACAGGGCACAGGGTTCCATTAGTGCCACTGCTGTTCCTGCAGCTGCTCCTGCCATCGCTGTTCACACCTCCCTGCAGCTGCCAGCGTGATGGTAGTGGCTGTTCCTGATGGCTTGTGGCTGCCATCACTAGTGCAGGAGTTTAGTCCAAAACAGTGGGCTCCTATAATTTTTATTTTAAAATTCATATGCCATATTCTCTTAGCACCATTTCCAGAGACTTTAGTTTGTTTTCTTGAGTTGAAGCCATGCTCTGTAGCCCAGGCTGTAGTGCAGTGGCATGATAATGGCTCACTGCTCCAAGAAGCTCTGTAAACCTCCTACCACTTCAGTGAAACTGGTGAAAATTACTTTAAAAACTATTTGGCCAAGTACCATGGTCAGTGCATTGTATCAGTAGGTTCATAGTATCTGTTTAACATGCTAGCTGTTATTTTAATTTTGAACAGTTCTTTCAATAAGCACACATTGATTGTCACATAGTACTTTTTTATTACTAGTCAGATTGAATTTTATGTATGCTAATGGTATGGAAAGGGGTCAGGGAAGTGCTAGGTACAGGAGGGCATGATCTGTGGCTCCACCCTCAGGCCTGTGCCCACAGACCTTAGTGAGAACAGGCACTCCTGCCTTTACACCCAAATGTTGCATTTCCCAAGACCACCCTGGCCTGCCACGCTCCCATTCTGTGCCTATAAAATCCCAGAGACCCTAGCAGGAACACACACACAAGAGGCTGGACGTTGAGAGGAACACATCAGCAGAAGAAGACACAGCAGCTGGACATCGAGAGGATGTTGAAGGACGCATGCCAGTGGAAGAGCACACTGACAGATGCCAGCATGCCAACAATCCTTCGACTGGCAGAACGAGGTGGAGTTTGGCCAGAGCAGTTGAAGGAGAATCCCCCGCTGAGCGGCCGGATTCCAGGGGAAAACCGTCTCCCTTCCAGCTCCCCCATCTGCTGAGAGCTACTTCCACTCAATAAAACCTTGCATTCATATCCCAAGCCCACATGTAATCCAATTCTTCCAATAAACCAAGGCAAGAACCCTGGGTACAGAAAACCCTTTGTCCTTGCGATAAGGCAAGGGTCTAATTGAGCTGACGCAGGCCAACTATGGATGGCTAAACTAAAAAGGCAGCCTGTAACACATGCCACTCAGGCTTCAGCTATAAACATTCACCCCTAGACACTGCTGTGGGGTTGGAGCCCCACAACCTGCCTGTCTGCTTCCCTAGAAGTTTGAGCAGTGGGGCACTGAAGAAGCAAGCCACACCCACATTGCACGCCCTGCGTGGGGGACAAGGGAACTTTTCCCATTTCACTAAGTGGTTATTTATATGACTATTTTGTAAATATATGGGATTTACATTTACATACATATATATATTAATTTGCTGAATTATCTGTGAAATTGATTATATTTTACCTATTCTAATATTGTTGGGTTTTATTGATTCAAATAACTTTATATATGAATGCTATTACTGTTTTGGCATGAATGTTACAAATGTTTTCCCTAGTTTGTTTGCTTTTTAATTTCTTATGACTTCTTAAAAAATCTTAAAGTTTAAAATTTGTATGTAAACTGAACTATTAGTGTTTTCCTGTATGGGTTCCACCTTTGATGTCATGCTTAGAAAAGTCCTTCTTCTTAAGATTACAGAAATATCTTTTCCTACTACATACTGATTTTCGTTTTGTTTGTTTCTCAAATAGGTACGTTTGCAGGAGCACATGGGTGAAAAGTATACAGCTTACAGTGTGAAAGCTCGCCAGTTGAAATTTTTTGAAGAAAACATGAATTTTTGAGCATTTGTCCTAATCTGCTGCCAAAATTAAAGACCTATTTTCAGAGGCTTTTGACTTAAAAAGCAAGGGCGAACAGTTATTTGGAGGCCATTCGCCACTGTTTTATATCTCTTTGGGGTTTTCTTACAGAAAAGAAATTGGACAGAACAGAGTAATATGAAGCAGGATCACAAAAGAAAAAACACCTTTGGCTTTCATATTCTATTTATGAGGACACATCTGTTGTTTGTTTGATTACTGTTTACTGAGCCTTAAACCAAGTTTATAGCTACAATTTTATTTTTCTAAGGTACTAATTAGCTTAAACACAGGGCTATAAAGTACTGGATTGAAAATTTTATATTGTAATATATAGATAAAAGCGATAGGAGAAACAGATTACTTATGTCCAGTCATTATACCTGCTATCCTTTATAACCTTAGTGAGTAGTTGATAAATTATAAAATTTTTTAAAGTCAAATCACAGTTCTGGAAATAGATTTAAAGAATATGAAGTTCTAGCTAGTACCTGAGCAACTGAATTTCTTTTCTACACATTGATGGACTTTTAATATTTTATTTTCATTTAATGTAAACCTCATTTAGAGTATATACAAATTAAAACTGAGACACATTGGCTTTGTAAATCAGTATGTTTTTACATAATGGTTTTGTTAGATTTATTTTTCCATCAGTGAAAAAACATTTCTTAAACACAAATTTCATTTCCATTTAAGCAATTTGTAAGCAAAGTCCAGGTCCGCTTAGTTTTTGGATATATTTAATGCTTGTCTCTGAAGTTTGTCTTCATCTGCTTTAAGATACTGTCTTTCCATGTTTTAAATGTATGATTATATATCACATATTAGTTGTTTAATAAGAGGTAATACCCATCTAGGAAAGGAATTTTATAAAGTTAAATACAAGTCTTGAATAGTACATTCAAGGGATACCAAAAATAAATATTGCCCCTGGTATGAGTCCATCCTGAGCGGCTGTTTTTTGAGCAGTGGTCGCTTATCTCCGTCCGCCTTCTCTTCCACCTAAGTGCGTGTCGCCACCCGATGGAAGATTCGATGGACATGGACATGAGCCCCCTGAGGACCCAGAACTATCTTTCTGGTTGTGAACTAAAGGCCGACAAAGATTATCACCTTAAGGTGGATAATGATGAAAATGAGCACCAATTATCTTTAAGAACGGTCAGTTTAGGAGCTGGTGCAAAGGACGAGTTGCACATTGTTGAAGCAGAGGCAATGAATTACGAAGGCAGTCCAATTAAAGTAACACTGGCAACTTTGAAAATGTCTGTACAGCCAACGGTTTCCCTTGGGAGCTTTGAAATAACACCACCAGCGGTCTTACGATTGAAGTGTGGTTCAGGGCCAGTGCATGTCAGTGGACAGCACTTAGTAGCTGTGGAGGAAGATGCAGAGTCAGAAGATGAGGAGGAGGATGTGAAACTCTTAAGTATGTCTGGAAAGCGGTCTGCTTCTGGAGGTGGTAGCAAGTTTCCACAGAAAAAAGTAAAACTTGCTGCTGATGAAGATGATGATGATGGTGATTTTGATGATGAGGAAACTGAAGAAAAAGTGCCAGTGAAGAAATCTATATGCGATACTCCAGCCAAAAATGCACAAAAGTCAAATCAGAATGGAAAAGACTCAAAACCATCATCAACACCAAGATCAAAAGGACAAGAATCCTTCAAGAAACAGGAAAAAACTCCTAAAACACCAAAAGGACCTAGTTCTGTAGAAGACATTAAAGAAAAAATGCAAGAAATTATAGAAAAAGGTGGTTCTCTTCCCAAAGTGGAAGCCAAGTTCATCAATTATGTGAAGAATTGCTTCTGGATGACTGACCAGGAGGCTATTCAAGATCTCTGGCAGTGGAGGAAGTCTCTCTAAGAAAATAAACAGTTTGTTAAAAATTTTCCGTCTTGTTTCATTTCTGTAACAGTTGATATCTGGCTGTCCTTTTTATAATGCGGAGTGAGAATTTTCCCTACCGTGTTTGATAAATGTTGTCCAGATTCCATTGCCAAGAATGTGTTGTCCAAAATGCCTGTAGTTTTAAAAGATGGAACTCCACCCTTTGTTTTAGGTATGTGTGGAATGTTATGATAGGACATAGTAGTGGTGCTGGTCAGACATGGAAATGGTGGGGAGACAAACATATACATGTGAAATAAAACTCAGTATTTTAATAAAGTAAATAAATATTGCTCCAGAAATGTTTTCAGATGCTTTTTTTTTTTGAGAGAGAGAGTTTCACTCTGTCACTCAGGTTGGCGTGCAGTAGCATGATCTTGACTCACTGCAACCTCCATCTCCTGGACTCAAATGATACTCCCGCATCAGCCTCCCTAGTAACTGGAACCACAGTGGCACAGGCATGTGCCACGACACCTGGCCAATTTTTGTATTTTTTGTAGACAGGGTTTCACCATGTTGCCCAGGTTGGTCTCAAACTCCTGGGCTCAAGTGATCCACTCACCTCGGCCTCCCAGAGTGCTGGGTTATAGGCATGAGCCACTGTGTCCAGCCTTGTTTTCAGTTTCCGTAACAAAAAATATATCTTTCTTTCTTTGAAAATTATACACACACACACAAATACTCTAATAAAATATTCCCTTTAAAGTCACTTAACACATTTTTATGTCGAGTTTACTATGTCCCAGGTTATCTGCCAGGAGCTGGGAATATAGTGGGGAATAAAAATAGTTCCTGCCCTTTTACAGTGCTCACAGCCTGGTTTCTGATAACTCTTATTTTCATGAAGGATTTGCTAGAACTCAACTTGCAAAACCATCAAGTCCCAATGCCCAGTTGGGAGCAAATCTTTGGCAAACTTGGTATCCTTGAGCTATTCTCCTTTCCTTGCATGTTTTGGAAATCCACTTCTTTCTGGACAGTCATCAGTTTTATTTTTCTAATGTGTTGGTAAAAAATAGATACTTTTTTAGAATTAAAGGAATTTCACCAATATATGTTTTTTGAGACAGGGTCTTGCCCTGTCACCCAGTCTGGAGTGCAGTGGGGTGATCGTAGCTCACTGCAGCCTTGACCTTGTGGGTTGAAGTGATCCTTTCACCTCAGCCCTCAAATAGCTAGGATCACAGGCATGCACCACCACACCTGGCTAATTAAAAAAAAATTTTGTGTGTGGAGAGGAAGTCTCACTGGGTTGCCCAGGATGGTCTCAAACTGGGTTCAAGCAATCCTCCCACCTCGGCCTCCCAAAGTGCTGGGATTATAGGCGTGAACTACCACACGACTTCTCCCATACTTTTATTCCCATGCTGTATATTTTTGTTTAAACAAACACTGATTGTGTCTTCCCACTTTTGTTTTGTGGTTTACTTGAATGCTTAATTTATCTCACTAAATTAATTTTAAAACACATCCTTAAGACTATCAATTTTCTTCTGAATATACCTTTGGCCACAGTTCAGAGACTGATGTGATACTCTTTTGACATGAGTTCTAAAATGTCAGTAATTCTTTTTTTTTGAGACAGAGTCTCGTTGTTGCCCAGGCTGGAGTGTAGTGGTGCGATCTTGGCTCACTGCAGCCTCTGCCTCCCAGGTTCAAGCAGTTTTCCTCTCTCAGCCTCCCGAGTAGCTGGGATTATAAGCATGCACCACTATACCTGGCTAATTTTTGTATTTTTAGTAAAGACAGGGTTTCACCATGTTGGCCAGGTCTTGAACTCCTGACTGATGATCGACCCACCTTGGCCTCCCAAAGTGCAGGCCTGCAGCACTATTAATTATATATCATGAACTATCTCAAACTCCTGGGCTCAAGTCATCCTCCTGCTTTAGCCTCCTAAAAGTGCTGGGATTACACTGCACCTGGCCAGAACCATGAACTTGTAACTTCAGCTTTTACTAATTATCTTCCTTGCAGAATAATGAACAAAAGACACTTTAGACAAAGACCTTGCACTATGAGTTTTAATCGGAAACATTAAAATAGTTTAATAACTCCTAATGAATTATAAAACTTTGATAGTTACATTGTACTATCATTGATGAGGCATTTATTCTTCATCATTTACACCTGAAACTGCAAACTTGGGTTCTCTTCCTCATTTCAGAGCAAGATTATGAAGAGACGATCTAAACTACTTACATAAATCAAAACCCAACTGGGCTAGAAATGAAATATAAAGAGAACTAAATCTATACACAGCTGTGCCATAAGAGCATTAGGTGGTTTTAGCTCATATTTGGGGTATGAAAGCAATTTAGCTCATCTCACAGGAAACAAAAGCCAGGTGCTGAATCATGAAAACCTCAATTATTTTTAGCATGCCTCTTAATTTTTCTTTCGCCTGGTTTCTTGTCTTCTGTGCTGGAGTCTTGAACAGGTAACCACTTGAGAGGATGTCGGCGATAGATGGGCCATGGAGGAAGTGTCAGCTGGGCCAGAAAAGAGAAAATGCATCAATTACAGCTATTAAAAGTTTAAAAAAAATCATTATGTATAATGCCTGGTTCCGAAACCACTCCTATGCAGAGGGAACCAAAAAAAAAAAAAAAATCCATATTCCTATAAAGGTTCTGTGCCACCACTCATGCAAGATACTGTAAGATGATGGGAACAGGCTCACTGCCTACACAAATGGCTTTAAGACCTAAAAGAGAAAAGTAAGGGGCCGGGCATGGTCGCTCACGCCTCTCATCTCAGCACTTTGGGAGGCCAAGGTGAATGGATCACTTGAGACCAGCCTGGCCAACATGGTGAAACCCTGTCTCTACTAAAAACACAAAAATTAGCTGGGTATGGTGGTGTGCGCTTGCAGTCCTAGCTACTCGGGAGGCTGAGGCAGGAGAATCGCTTAAACCCAGGAGGCAGAGGATGCAGTGAGCCGAGATCGCCCCAGTGCACTGCAGCGAGAGCGGCAGAGTTAAACCCCGTCTCAAAAAATTTTAAAGAAAGAAAGAGGCTAGGCCCGGTGGCTTAGGCCTGTAATCCCAGCACTTTGGGGGGCCAAGGTGGGCAGATCACGAGGTCAAGAAACCGAGACCATCCTGGCCAACATGATGAAACCCTGTCTCTACTAAAAATACAAAAATTAGCGGGGCGTGGTGGCACGCGTCTGTGGTCCCTGCTACTCGGGAGGCTGAGGTGGAAAAATCGCTTGAACCCAGGAGGCGGAGGTTGCAGTGAGTCAAGATTGCGCCACTGCACTCCAGCCTGGCGACAGAACAAGAGTCCATCTCAAAAAGAAAAAAAAAAAAAAAAAAAAAGAAGAAAGAAAGGTGAGGGGGAAATGTAAGCACCATGAAAAACTCCAGTGAGCTTTTACTGTAAGATTATTACCCAGAGTAGCTGCCCAAAGGAAATAAGCTGTGCCCTTTTACATAGTTCATAGCATCTGACACTATTTTTGCATTCTATTTTTCCAATGATAGCAGAGAGAAACATTGGGTTTGGGTCTCACTACTGAGGTGTAACCAAACTAACCCGACTCACAAAACCCAATTGCCACTAACACCCACACACTCACAAATTTCTTACCAAACATGAAAAAGCAAATCCGGCCATAACTATATAGACAGTCCACCCGAACTGTTCAGCCACGTATCCGTAGATAAATCCAACTATCTAGAGGTAAATGAAGTATATTAAACACATTCAAACTGAGGGTTGAGGGGGGTAGGCGGGGGCGAGGGTTAAATGTGAAACCAGTACTTACTGCAGAAAAAAGAATAATTCCTTGAAACATCTGTTCAGCTAGCTTCTGGCCCTTGTAATCCTGGGGAGAAGCAGAGGAAAAAAAGAATTGGTTCCACCGCCGAGGAGATACAACTTCTGCCCTGACCTCACAACTTTGGCCCAGGGTGACCCCAACGTCAGGGACTCCCGCTCTTCTAAGGATCCGGGCAAGGAATCAAATTCTGGGTTTCCCGGGAGGAACTCAAACACCCTTACGGAGAATGGACAGGGAGATCCTCGCGGAGGAGAAGGGGACCCAGGAAGCAAGTCGGGAAAGAGGGTGGACGGTACCCATCTGGGCCCAGAACAGCGCAGCATCGGGTCGGTGCTCGGACATGGGCTTCGAAGCTGCCAGGCACAAGAGCGGCGTGCGGAGGTCCCCGGGCTGCGCCCTCACCATCTGCGTGGGCAGCGAGCTCAGATGCTCCAGCATGGCTAGCTGAGGAGGCGGGCAGCCAAGCGAAGGTGGTAGGCTGCGAGGCGAGGGAGACCGAGATTTAGGGGCCCTGAGGACCAAGGTGTGACACTCCACGTCGCCAGGCAAGCCTTCGAAGCCTGGGAGCGCGATGGCCGCGGCTCCGGAAGCGGAAGTCTCCGACTGGCCGGCACAGTCCGTGTCCCCGCCCCGCGCCATCGCTAGGCGACGTGAGGTTTTGCCGCGGCGTGCTGCCCGCGAGGAAAGCTGAGATGGTGGCGGCAGCGGCCGCATCGAGGCATTGAGCGCCCGTGAAGGGTACGCTGTCAGTGCTGTTGGGTGCCTGGAGCCGAGGCCCCGGTCCCGAAAACTGTCCTTGACATGCCTAAGCAGCCCAACGGTTGCCGGCGCGCGCCGCGTCTCCATGGCGACGGCCTTTTCTCTGTGAGGACCCCCGGCGGCGGGGCTGCCCCGCGGCGCCTGCTTGGAGCGACGGTGTAGCGGTCACAGCAACGTGCTGGCTGGACGTTGTAGGTCTGCGCGGCTGCCACGGAGCTAGAGGGCACGTGGGCTCGGCCCAGTGTGTAGGGGCCACGGGCGGCCAGACAACGGGCTGCGCCCCAGGGCCTGCGGCGCGGGCGCTGAGCTGGCAGGGCGGGCCGGGGAGCGTGTTGCATCCGCGTCTCCTCCTCCGCCTGCCGTGAGAGCACCCGCGGTGAGCCTCTGAGGGGAACGACTGGTCGGAGCCCTAACCCAGGGTACCTCTGAGCCTGGCGGGATCCCCGGAGCGTCACATCACTTCCCGATCACTTCTAAGTGTAAGGGGGCCCCTCCTGACCCTTGGAATTTAGGGGGCTACCCTAGGCGGCATCCACAAGAGAGAGAATTTCCTTGGAGAGGGGAACCTGGTCCTCGGCTGTCCCTCTCATCCGCGTGGAGGGTCCCTCATCCGGGGGCTCCCGCACTCGGCCCTTTCACAGTCTGGCCGGCTTTACTGACCCTCACAGACCCAGGCTGGGCCTTCCTGATAGAGGCCAGCCGAAGGTTCACTCAGCCTCTTTCAAGGCTGGCGTATCTGTAAATCGTAGAGTCTCCACCGTTGCCGTGAGCCAGGTGGGATGACCACGTTTTGGAGAGAAACCGATCTGAGGAACCGGGGCCTCTGGGTCCCAGCTGGCTCTCTGGCCTCCATGCTATGTATTCAGGGTTAGCCACAGACAGTGAGATTCAAGGCACTCCCGGGACAGGGTGGGACTGCTGTCCTCTTTCATGCAACCAGCAAATATTCACAGCACCTTGTTTGTGCCAGACAGCAGACCAAGCACACAGTTGTTAACAAGACCAGGCTGTTGCCTTAGAAGAGCCCAGAGCGTGTCAAGAAAGACAGCCACATCACGCCAGAAATACGTGACAGCTGGATTAGCCCTGGGAGAGGGAGGCCCAGATGTGGGAGCTCAGGGGAGGTGCAGCTCTACCTGGAGTTTGGAGGAGGCTACCTTGACTTCTGAAAGCCAAGTGGGAGCCAGCCAGATGAAAGGGTAGGAGAAAGTATTTATATATCTCAGTGCCCTTTGATCCTTGCACTTGGCAGAGGCCAAGCAGTTAACAAACAAAAAAATCCATGTTCCTATAAAGGCTAAAATGCAGACACCTTTGACACTTTTCTAACCTCATAAGGAGCCAGGACATGTAGAAGGCAGAAAGAGGGATGAGCAAGAGTTTATTCCTGTTTCCTTCTCATGCTCTGTATTTCTTAGTGTGTTTGAACAGACTTTCTGTTGTGTATATAAACATATCTGTGTGTGTGTGTGTGTGTGTGTGTGTGTGTTTGAGACTGACTCTTGTTCTGTCGCTCAGGCTGGAGTGCAGTGGTGCAATCGCAGCTCACTGCAACCTCTGCCTCCTGGCTTCAAGTGATTTTCCTGCCTCAGCCTCTTGAGTAGCTGGGATTACAGGCCTGCACCACCACACCCGGCTAATTTTTGCATTTTTAGTAGAGACAGAGTTTCACTGTGTTGGCCAGACTAGTCTCAAATGCCTGACCTCAAGTGATCCATCCACCCTGGCCTCCCAAAGTGCTGAGATTACAGGCGTGATCCACCGCGCCCAACCACTGTGGTCTTTTTTTTTTTTTTTTGAGATGGAGTATTGCATTGTCACCTGGGCTGGAGTGCAGCGGCACATTCTCGGCTCACTGCAACTTCCACCTACCAGGTTCAAGTGATTCTCCTGCCTCAGCCTCTCAAGTAGCTGGGATTACAGGCACCCACCACCATGCTCAGCTAATTTTTTGTGTTTTTAGTAGAGATAGGGTTTCACCATGTTGGCCAGGATGGTCTCGAATGCCTGACCTTGTGATCCACCCGCCTCAGCCTCCCAAAGTGCTGAGATTACAGGCGTGAACCACCACATGTGGCCCACTGTGGTCTGTCTTAAAATGCATTTCATGTGACAGCAGTTGCTGTAGAGACTTTATGGTATTTGAGATGTAAAGGGGGCCAGCGCGGTGGCTCATGCCTATAATCCCAGGACTTTGGGAGGCCGAGGCGAGCAGATCACCTGAGATCAGGAGTTCAAGACCAGCCTGGCCATCATGGCAAAACTCTGTCTCTACTAAAAATACTAAAATTAGCCAGGCATGGGTGCATGCATCTGTGATCTCAGCTACTCAGGAGGCTGAAGCACAGGAATTGCTTGAACCCAGGAGGCAGAGGTTGCAGTGGGCCAAGATTACACCACTGCACTCCAGGCTGGGCGACACAGCAAGACTCCATCTTAAAGAAAAAAAATTAGCCGGGCGCGGTGGCTCACGCCTGTAATCCCAGCACTTTGGGAGGCCGAGGCGGGTGGATCACGAGGTCAAGAGATCGAGACCATCCTGGTCAAC